TTATTATAATCATTTACAGTAAATACTGAGGAGAACTCTGGTGGCTTAGTGGTAAGGATCTGTACTGTCAACCCAAAGGCAAGGATCTCTTAATGAACCAGTTGGTAATTCTGGCCAAGATTTTGAGTCCATGTAAGAAAAGGGTACTATGGGCTCTTGCTTTTCTTCCTTCCTTTCTTTTCCTTTCATTATTTCAATCTGACCCAGTTTTTCCTTGACCTATAACTGGTAATTTATTTCTTTCATGAGTTGTTACAAGACCCGGGGGAAAAAAAGCATGCCAACCCACTCATCTTATTTATAAAATACTCTAGCATTTATGAAGGAACTCAGAACTGGACTGTCCAGAGAAGCCTGGGAGCATGAACACTGCACTGATTGGGCAGTGACTAAAAGCACTGTAGCCATCCTGTTGAAGAAAAGATGCCAGGGGTCTCTATATGCTGACTGACCTGTGTCAGGTCTGCAGCCTTCCTCCTGTTTCTAAATCTCTAGCCCTTCAGTGTTCCTTAGCAACAACAGCCAACAAGGAATCAATTGAGAAAAATGCTTTCCAGAGCATTCCTATGTACCTATTGACCAAGCCATTTTTGTTTATGTGATCAAGCCACTGAAATTCAAGGAGATTTATCCCTGACTGTCCTTGCAGCAAAAACTGGACGAGCACTCTTGCTATGCATGTGTGAGATGACTGATTCTACCTTGACTGTACTCACATGGAAGGGACGGTAAGAATTAGTAGTCTCTACATCTCACTGTGAACCAACAGTGTTGCCAGGGAAACTGACAATTATGTGGCCACATGGGAGGTGGAGGCTAGAAAGAGGTTCAGAAAAAATGCAAGGTTTTGATCAGAATCAGTATACTAATGGTATAGTGTGTTGATTTTCTGTAGTCATATCATTTAATAAACACCATTAATTACATGTTTGCCAAGATACAGATATCTGAACTGAAAGAGATGATCTGACATGAAGTGACCTGTGGAAAGCTCCTTAACTGACTATACTTCTCTTGTGCTGTTGCAGGGACACCTTTATTAGCAACTACTATTAATCTGACAAATAAAATACTAAAAAAATACTGAAAAACCAAGGTGACTTTTTAATGTTTTTATTTTTATATTAACCTTCAACATAGAAAACCTGTAATTTCATAGTAGCTGTAGTAAAATTACTTTCCATTCCCCATAAACTATATCTTCTCAAAATACCTCATTAGTTGCTACAGAAACCACATGGGGCAGGGGCTAGGGCTGGATGGACAGATACCTCCCCTTAACTCAAAACCCTTTTGTGTGCTGTTTGAAACTTTTTGGTTTGGAGTTTTGGGGTGGTTTTCCCCCCCTGAATTAAAAAAGATTCTACTTAAAAAACCCCCACTTCATTAGTTGGAGAAGAAAAGAAATGTGACTATTTTAGTATGAAAACTAGTACAAGAAATCCTAATGAACTTCAGGAAGTTGTAGAGCTCCTCTGTTTCCAGTGAAGCTGATGCTAAATCCTCCCCTTTGGCAATCAAAGTGGCCTTATAATTAGTAATATCCTGTTACCAGAAACTCATCAAAAGGATATACACCCAATGTATGAATTCCAATCTCTATCTCTCTACCTTTAATCTTAGATGAAGATTTTCACTGCTGTTAATTTTTAATAGCTAAGAGTTTAGTTCTCAAAGTCAGAAATAGAAATACTTGTTTATGAGGAAAATTTCATCAGAAGCATGTTATTATGTAAGAAAATTCATCAAAAATGTTAACAGCTTATTAAAGAAACAGATGTGCCTGCAAATCAAATCACCTATCAACTGTGAGACCTTGACAATTCTGAGACCTAATATTCTTACAATTTTACTTTTCCAAGAATTTCTGGAGATACACCCCCACATAATTAATA